GAAGTTCGGGCAGGGGGTGAAGCTGGAGGTGCTGGAGCCCGGGGCCGTGGGGGGACGCCTGGCCACGCTGCGGGGGGGGGGGGCTGACTATGAGGCAGGGGGGTCCATCATCCACCCCCTCAACCTGCACATGAAGCACTTTGTCAAGGAGCTGGGTGAGTGGGGACCCCCCCAAAACCAACCCGCCCCAGTATCACCCCCAGTATCACCCCTCTCTTAGATCCTTCCCCAAGTATCCACCTCCTTTTCCTCCCCACTCCACATCCTTCCCCACTAATCCCCACCCCAACCTTTTCCCAGTCCCTCCTGCAGTTCCTCAGCCCCTTCCCAGGAAAATCCCCAGGGAAGCGGGACCCCCCCACTGTGGGTGATGCCTGAATCCCATCACAAAGGTCCAAAAGTCACCATAAATAACGACATGGCTCCTGGTCAAGAGCCAGTTCCTCTTTCCTCATCTGGGGGATCCCATCTTTTAACTGCTCCCCCCTCTCGAGGCACAACCAGGTTGTCCCAGGAAATTAAAATCGAGGTGTAACAGAGTTTAGCTCCACACAAACTACATGAAATGACCTTTATTTTCAGGCCTCTCAGTGGTCTCAGCCCACGGGGGCCTGATGGGCATTTATAACGGGGAGGAGTTTGTGTTTGAGGAGAGCAGCTGGTACCTCATCAACCTTCTCAAGCTCCTCTGGCGCTACGGGCTCAACCCCCTGAGGATGCACATGTGGGTAGAAGACATCCTGGACAAGTTCATGAGGTACATTGGGGCCCTGCTGAGGGAAAAGGTGGGGGAAAAAAAGGGGTGAACTCATCCCGTTGCTATGGAGGAGGCTCTGGTTGCCCTCTCACCATTCCTGGTCTTTTTTTTTCTAAGGAAGAAGATCAAGGTAAGTGATGTCATCCCAGCAGGCCTGGGAGTAAGGAGGCTGTGGTGGAAATGAGGATGGGGATGTCCCATCCCTCTGGCACTCGGGTGCTGAAGAGAATTAAACTCCTTGCTGGGCTCAAAGAGCTTTCGTTAGGCAAGATGAGTACATGGTTAATGAAGATCCAGGTCTAATTAGGCACGTACCGGGTAGGGAAGGGCTTGGCTGGAAGGAGCAGTTGGTCCATAAGGAGCTCAAGATGCAGCAGGGAAGGTTTAGATTAGGGGAAGGGCAGTGGGAGACCCATGTTGGTCTCTGTCACTGCTTGGCTGCAGCTCTTGGCAGATGGAAGCAGCATCCTTGGACTTACCTGATTTTTTTAGATGGATCTTAGATTGGATATTAGAAGAAACTTCTTCACTGAAAGGGTCATTCAATGTTGGAACAGGCTGCTCAGGGAGGTGGTTGAATCCCCATCCCTGGAGGTGTTCAAGAGACGTGTGGATGTGGTGCTGAGGGACATGGGTTAGCACTGGACTTGGTAGAGTTGGGTTATGGTTGGTAGAGTTGGGTAATGGTTGGACTCAGTCCTGCACCTGGGGTGGGGCAGTCTCATGCACAAAGACAGGTTGGGTGGAGAATGGATGGAGAACAGCCTTGAGGAGAAGGCCCTGGGTTGTTGGTCAGTGAGAAAGAAGCACAAGGTGAGCTGGCTCCGTGCACTGGAGCCCAGAAACCAACCGTGGCCTGGGCTGTGTCAAAAGAAGAGTGGCCAGCAACTCTGCTCTGGTGAGACCCCCCTGCAGGGCTGGTCCAGTTCTGGAGCCCCCAACACAAGGACGTGGAGCTCCTGGAGAGAGTCCAGAGGAG